AGAGAGAGAGAGAGAGAGAGAGAGAGAGAGAGAGAGAGTTGTTAAGTGTGTTGAGGAGGTTCTGACACATATTGTTGAGTTGGTTCCAACTCATAGTGACCCTGTACACAACATAAAGAAGCACTGCCTGGCTCTGCACTAACCTCACAATCACAGTTACATTTGATCCCATTGCTGCTGCCACTGTGCCAATCTATCCTGTTGGGGGTCTTCTTTTTTTTTTTTTTTTGCTGATCCTTCACTTTACCAAGCATGATATACTTCTCCAGGGATTGGTCCCTCCTGATAATATGTCAGAAGTATAAGAGGTGATATACTTCTCCAGGGATTGGTCCCTCCTGATAATATATCAGAAGTATAAGAGGTGAAGTCTCAGGAGCATTCTGACTGTATTTCTTCCAACACAGATTTGTTTGTTCTTCTGGAAGTCCAACAACATAACTAAAATTCATCAATTCCTCCATGGTCTTGCTTATGCATTGCCCAACTTTCATATGCATATGAGACTACTGAAAATACCATGCATTGGGTGGTCAGGCACGCCTTAGTCCTCAAACTGATATCTTTGCTCTTAGACAATTTAAAGAGGTCTTGTGCAACAGATTTGCCTAGTACAATATGTCATTTGATTACTTGACTGCTGCTTCCATGAGTATTCATAATGGAATCAAGCAAAACACAAAGCAACTCTATAATGGTATTCCAGGGCTGTACATCTTTGCAGGAGCAGAAAGCCTCAGCTTTCTCCCAAGGAGAGAGCCACTGGTGGCCTCAAACCTCTCACCTTGTTTAACTGCGCTCCCATATGTAAATATATATATATATATATATGAGTGTGAGAAGGATGGTGGATCTGTTCGATAAGCACTGGACCAACAATCATAAGGATGATGGTTTGAACTGTTCCTCAGAAAAATATAAGGTTTTCTACTCCTACAAAAATGTATACCCTCAGAAACCCTATACTGAGTCGCTATGAGTAGAAATTAACACAACAGCACATAACAACAACAACATATACGAGTTTATCTCCCATTGGTTAGAGAAAGAAATCCTGGTGTTATTCTCAAATGTGGGCTTTTTCTATGTGTGGTTATTCCAGAGTAATGGAGGCATTCGGAGTATGGCCATCCGGCACTTTGGTGAATTACTCAAGGACATGGTTCAGTACACTTGGATGCTAAACGACGTGGTCTTGCAAGGCCTGGTGCCTCTAATCCTGTTTTTGGAGGACTCAGAGTTAAGAGTAGTTGAAGTAAGTCAAGCTATCTTGTTTTTCTTAGTTTTGCTGAAAATCGCAGTGTTTTATGTAACACTGGATGAATTAATCCTCGTTGACTTTCTTCTACTTAACAGGCATGTAAATATACATTAGAAATCTGTTCCTCACAACTAAACTGGTCTACATCATATTGGCTCAAAGACAAAAATTACAATTTTGAAATGGTGGTACTCAGCATCTGTAACAATCTTGTAAGTGACTCTTCAGTTTTTACTAAAATAAGAGTTATAGAAAGAACTTCAAAAGATATCCAAAGCAATGAAAAGTGTGTTGGGAAGAAAAATGGATCTTGAAGAAGGAAAATGAAGAAACAGTAATAAATGAGTATTTATAACCAGTTTGAGAACAAAGAAAATTGGAATAATTCATTCCTCTTCCTCAGCACAAACCACCTATTTGTCTTTTTCCTTCAAGACACCAAATTTACCTTTCTTCAACCCATCCACTTTGAACCAGGGATGGATATAAAGGTAGAAAGATCATTCCAGATTATCAAAAGGAAAATTGGAATTATTTTGCTAGTGCCTCATGAGCTGCCCCTCTAGAATCCAACATGACTTGGAATGGCAAACAAATGGGGGTTGAAGAATGCTAGCCAAAGCTTGAAAGCAGAACGTTAGGCTTGGGAATCATATAGTAAACTAAACAACACCTGCAAGCAATAGTAAAGTCTATACATGAAAAGTCTCGAGTTTTAAAACTGGCTCTAATTTGATATAGGACTCCTGGTATTAGAACCAATCCGATGGCACTTAATAACAACAACAAATTTGATGTAAGTAATTAAGTTGTTTTCTCTTAAAGTCTCTCTTGTTATTGTTAAGTGCCATGGAGCCAATCCCTATTCATAGCGACCCTGAATACGGTTTCCAAGAAGCAGCTGGTGAGTTTGAACTACCAATCTTGTGGTTCAAACTGACCTTGAGGTCCAGTGCTGCTGGGTTTGAACCACTAGGTCAGTTAGCAACCTTGTGGTTAGCAGTTCAGTACTTATCCCACAGTACTACACCACAGAAGGAGCTCTGGTAGTGTAGTTGTTACAAATCGGGCTGCGAACCACAAGGTCAGCACTTTGAAACTACCAGCTGTTTCACGGGAGAAAGATGAGACTTTCTGTTCCCATAAAGATTTACAGCCTCAGAAACCATGTACAGGGTCACTATGAGTCGGAACCAACTCCAC